TGCCAAGGGATCTAGTGGTGTATATTGTCTATAAGCATCGTATATCCTCTCCAGATATCTGGTCGGGCTTTCAGTTACCCCCTGTTCTATGGCTTTGACTTTAGCCAAATTTGTGGGCCGGCGTGACGCCGCCCGGAGACCTGTCATTAGAGTCTGGCGATAGGACAGGAGACGCTCCCTACCTTCCGGCGTCCTAAAGTCCCAGTCAGGTCTCGTCAGTGGGAAGTGGTCTTCAATGAGGTTGGGGAGGGTTGTCGTTCGGCCGTCGGGTCCGATGACGTTCTTCCTGGCTTCTGTAATTACTCGTTCCTTTTCTTCTGAACTTAAAAGAGTACTCAAGAGTTGTTGACAGTCATCCCAAGTAGGCTCATGGGTGTTCATGATAGATCCTATAAGATCAGTGAGCCTAATGGGATCCTTAGAAAAAGGGGGGTTTTGGGACCTCCAATTGTAAAGGTCACTGGATGAGAAGGGCCAATATTGGTAGACTCTGTCCTCTTCACCAGATCCTATTGCCCGCACAGGGAATGCATGGATAGGGGGGACGTCATTCCCTTCTTTTCCTGGCACCCTGGGACCTTTCCCTTGTCCCTGGGGCGGGGACACCCCTATCTCAGGCCGGGGCCTCAAGTTAGTAGGAGAGAAGGGTTCCTCTCCCTCTCTTGCCAGAGAATATTCCGGGGGTTCATCTGGGGCCGTAGGGATGGCTGTGGGGTCAAGAGGTTCTGGGCTTAACTCGGCCTGAACCCTTCGGTTCTGAGCAGGAGGTCTATAGAAGACGTCTAGATCTAACAAGGAGGGGTATATGCCACCTTTCTGTGCCACCAGGGGGCCAGGTCTTGCTTTAATGGGGTCTAGACCCGCTGCTACTAGTGCTGGGACCTTTTCTGAACTAGATGGAATGGAAGGCCCCTGGGGCTCCTCTGTTGGAGCATTCTGTGGCATCATGGGATCCGGAGGTGGATCCCATGGTGAGGGGGTCAGAGCTTTCAACCAAGCAGGAGGATTTTCTGAGATCTCTTGCCACAAGAGGATATATGGAAGCTGATCTGGGTGCCCATCAACCCCAGGCCTTGTAATTACGGCCTTTACCTTTGAGATAAGATCTCCGGAAAAGGAGCCTTCTCTGGGCCACCCGACCCTAAAGGAGGGCCACTCAGATGAGCAAAAGGTGTCTAACTTACCTTTCTTGATATTTGAGCCCATGCTCTGGCCTATCTTTTGGACGTCTGAAAAGTGACTTAAGAGGAGACCTCTAGGCGTAGCTTGTTTTTGCCCCATGAGATTTTCGTGCAAAAACAAGTACAACACAAAAACAGACACTGCAAACACACCTACACACCCTAGTATTCCTCTCGTCCACCCACTCACACGCCGGCCGGCACACCACACACTCTCAAAATCTCTTTCTCCAACCTTATTTCCTCCAATTACTCCAAAAGGTGTCCACTGAAGGGACTTCTTACCTGGGTCAATCGGGACGTCTCCCGTGACTTTGAGGAGTGGTTGGTCCAGTTTCAGTTTCGTTGATCTAACTTCGAGCGCTC